CTGGTAGTGACCTACTTACAGGTTCATATCTAGCCAAAAATCTTAAAGTGAATCATTAATAAGATTTAAGCCTCAACAGGGACTAATGTCAAGATCATCTCATATTTTCATGTCGTCCAAACCTTGACCTAAGCTCCCTCTGCACTTGAATACAGTCTCTTTGCCCACACAAAGTTTAAGCTGGAAGAACAAACCTTTTAGCCATATGGCGTATACCAGAATTAGAAGCTAAAGGCTTGAATCACAAGTGTTACACAAAAGTACAGCAAAAACAATCTTAGGAAAGAGTTGTTCAGAAAGGTCAGAGATAAAAGAAAAAGGGAGGAAATATCTGCTTAGATCCTTAATGAGGGGTACAAAAATAAAACCCACAGGGAACTGTCCTAGTTAAGTAGTGGTCTCACCACTGCAGATAGACCATTATTAGATTCGATACCAGGTCCACAGATGCATTAAGCTTGTGCTTGAACCAACTGGAAAGAAGGTGGAAAGGAGAGGAAGGATGTTTTTTATCTACTTTGTACTCTGAAAATCCTGGAGCTTAAACTTCAACTAGCATAATACAGAGCACTTGAAGAGGCGCTTGAAATTATATTAGCTGGCGACACCTCCTAAGAAGCCCACCACCAGCTAAAAATGAACCGGAGAATTATGCCCTCTGGGTCACTCCCAAGGACAGTGACAGATAGCAGGTGGTAAGGATAAAAGATCTGGCCTCCTATTTAGGAATCATTTGAGTGACAAGCACATTTTACTCCCTTTTCTTCTCCTCTTTTTCCTCTGGTAGATTTTTCTACTTTCAGAAATTGTTTTCGACTTATAAGTTCTTATTGTTTCTGACACCAGGATGTGCCTTCTCTTATTTAATGCACTGGTACCAATAGGAAGAAGTGAATCCAAAGTCAAGAGAAACTGGTTTTCAGATTTCCTTCTTCTTGCAGTAGTATCCACCAGCTTCTACTATTTTTTTAAGTCCAGGAGCAATTCTGAAACCTTGTGCATATGCAGAAGCTATGTCCCTTCCACAGCTTCCCCTCCACCATGCAGAATAAATAGATTCTACTGACGAGGCACTGCAATTACTCATTTTGCCCACCATGGGCTGCTGTGGCACCACAAGAGAGGGAAGTCACCCAGCAGAGAAGCTGCATTTCTCACAATGGGGCCAGGTAACCAGGCACATGATGGAGAGAGTGAAGTAAGCAGGGCTGCTGGGGGGAGAGATCACAGACTAGGGCACAGGCTCAGGAGCTAGTATGGTGACAGTGCTGAGCCAGGAGGTTAATTGGTGGGACTGGCAGGAACACATGGGGCAGGGGCGGATGTCACTGACTGAATGGGAGAGGCTAGGAGCCAAATAACGTCTACATGGGGGAAACTCCCCAACTCCCTAATAATCCCTCCTACCCCTCAAAAATTCTGCTCCATACTTCTTCTATTCACACCTCCAGATTCACTCCCAGACCCCATCCCAGTAATTACTCCCCATTTCCTCAGCTCCTCTATTACCCCAACTGCCCCAAGCCTTTGCTCTGATTCTGAGGAACGTGATAAATACATTTATGTATTGTAAAGTGAATGAATTACTCAATGTTCTTTACTAATATACCTGGCAAGGAATCAGTTTGTCAAAAAAAAAATCCTGAATCTTTGTCTGTATTGTTAGAAATGTCTGCTGACAGATATTTCAAATCAGATTACTAAAATAAAAAAAGAATATCACACCAGCTTCAGTTATTTTGACAAAAATGTCAAATTTTAAATTATTGTGTGCAGATTTCGGGGAGGGTGAAGAATGCTAACAGAAGTGATTTTTCTATGAAATACTTTGGCAAAGAAGCAGCACCATCTGCACTAAAGGAGGAAGTGCTGTGTCTGGATAGGCTCTGTCTGAAAGAATCTGATTTTAATCAAGCCCATTACATGGCATCTCAGGTGAAAAAAGGAGTAGCAGACAATTCAGAAGTGAACCACAGAAAACCTTAACACCAGACAGCTCATATTACAAATCGCAATTGATCAAATATAGTTACAACTTCTCCTCCATTTAACTACTGTGTCATGGTTTCCAGAAGCAGCTGCCAGATCTAGAAGAACGGAGGGAATGGAATTATAGCATCTTCAAGTCTTACAGAGTAGAATCCAGAACTCAGGATATGTGAAAGAGAAAAGCTGAATTTCAGGTATTTTTCTCTAAATGAATTTATCTCTGGAGTTCAATTTTACATAAACTCCTACTAATCTGTGATTTCCTTCATTAAAGTTCTACTGTTTAAATCCCCAAGAACTAATTAGAAATATTAAGATCACTAAGTTTTTGTAGAAGAAGAAACCTGAATTAGATAAAGAAAATATGAACTGTGACTGAGTATTGTACGTACCTTTAAGTCAGGGATATTGAACTTTGAATTGGTGGAGAGATTATTATTTTTTGTAGTTGCAGTATGTAGTTTTTCCCATGTCTGTTGACATGTTTTCTCCCCAGGAGCAGAAATAAGCCAGAACTCTGTCATTTTTGTCACTTTATCTTGACACTTGATATTTCTGAAGATAGATGCGAGACACTGGGGGGAAAAAGAATCTATGCTTAGCCACAGATTACTGTCCCTTGAAGTAGTAACCTTAAAACAATCTCCTATGTTCTCAGAGTACAGTTCAACACACTGCAAAGAAATTGCTACAAAAAAGGTAACGTTATGTTTATTTTAACTCTTCAACTACTTGCAAACTTACCCTAGAAATTGCAACGTAAAATGGATTATTTCAAATACACTGAATCCCCAATATGACGTAGTTTACAAGTTAACTGAAGGTACACAACTGACAATAATTCAGCTCAAACTCCCAAAGCCATGCATCAATATAAATAAGGATTTTTTTAAAAAAGCCTGAACAGCAAGTAATAATACATCTGAATATATAAGGAGAGCAAATGTGCTCAGTAAGGTGATTTTTGCCTGACCACTTCTCCCGCCTCCCCCCGCCGAAAACACACTTGAAGAGCTATTGCTTGACAATGAAGTAATTTTAAACCGTTCACTGCTCTGAACTTAAGCAGATTTTCCAAGTGGCTAACTTAAGTAGGGAATTTCTTACTACATCTCTGATCTCATTCATCATTGTACTTTACAAAACTGCACACATAATAGACTGTTGTTCATTACAACAATTCAAGAACTGAAAGAAAATTACAGTGAGAAGACAAGTAAACTTTTCAAAAAAGATCAAAGAGGAAGTACTTAGGCACTGTTCTAGACATAAAAAACAGACCAACCCTACTGAGTTTTACTGGACTTTAATTGGCACATCACTAAGTGTACTTTGTTTATTTGATAATTATGGTTTGGTTCTGTTAATTCCTATTTTTTCCCTATAGAATATTTTGGAAAAGTAGTGAAGTTTAATGAGCCCTTATTAACCACTTGTAATCTTTGCTGAGAAAGGGGCCATATCTATAACAATCAGTGTGTGGGTTAGCAAAGCTTTACTGTACATAAAAACCCACATATTTCCCCTTGATTATATGACTTCCAAATTAATGCAAGTCCCTTCCAATTAGGAGATAAACAGGATGAGACATATATTACTAAACTCTGCTGTCTGCCCACACAGATTTTATTAAATTACAACTGCCAATTTATTTTCTTCCTTTATAAACTCCTGAAATATGCCCTTTTACCATCATGATCCTGCTTATAAAGGAACTTCAGTTTGTTGTAGAGATCCACCTTATAAAGGAAGCTATTTAATGCAGTAGCAGAATGTGGCACATAATTGCAATGATTTTTTGTCCATGAGTGTATAATGCAGGGAAAAGGGGGGTAATTTTGTATTACATAAAGCCTAAGAATCTACATGAAAATATGCTAGCTATATTTAGTGTTGCCAACTTGCTAACTGCCCAAAACCAAACACACTTGCCCCATCCCCTGCCCCTTCTCTGAGACCGCTCACTCCATCCCCACTTCCTCTCTCACACTCATTTTCACCAATCTGGGGCAGTGGCTTGGGGAATGGAAGGGAGTATGGGCTCTGGAGTGGGGCCAGGGATGAAAAGTTTGGGGTCCAGGAGGGGGCTCTGAGCTGGGGCCAAGAGGTTCAGAGTGTGAGGAGGCGGCTCTGAGTGGTTTTGTGAAATGAAGGGATCAGGGTGTTGGGGTGTGGGAGAAGGCAGCAGGCTCTGGGGTGAGCCAGGATAGAGGGGTTTGGGCTAGAGATGTTAAATTGCGGATAATCAGCTAATTGAGTAGCTGATGGACTTTCCAATGACTACTTGATTAGTTGATGGATGGGTGCTTGCTATCCCTGCGGGAAGCTTTAAGAGCTGCTCAATGGGAAACTGGCCAATGGAGCTGTCTGTTTCAATAACAGGCAGCCACAAAGCATAAGGGGCTCATAGTTATTCACAAAGTACAGCTGTAGCCTGTGCGGGGGGACGGGACGGGCAGGGAGGCTGATTCAAGAACTGGCTGCTGGCTGGTAAGTCTCCTGGCCACACCCTGCCTCTGGCACTCTAGCATCCCCTCCCCTCCCAACCCTCTGCCCCCTCCCATTCCCGCCCCAGAACACTGTCCCCTTCCTGCACCCAGATCCGGCACCCCAATCCCTTGCCCCAGAACATAGTCCCCTCCTGCTCTAGGTCACAATCCAACCCCCGGTACCCCAGTGCCACAGGTCACAATTGCTTCCCTCCCTTACCCCAAGCTCCCTTCTGCACCCAATCTCCTCTATTAATATCATGGAAGAGTGCAGCCCTTGACCACTTTCAAAATTCTTGGAGTGCGCCCCCTCAAAAATTATTGCCCACACCTGCCTTAATATATGACAAAAATCCAGTGGCCCCTTTTCTGATGCAACATTAGATTCCTCCTCCACTGTCCTCACTCTGCTTTGTAAGTGTGTTTATAGAAACAAATTGTTTGATGCATTGGGGGTTCTTTATTCCAACCACCTTTTACATCATTTGTGTTTTTTATCTGAAAACAGTGTTAGGGTGGCTTCAATTTACTGTATAGCACTCAAACCATTTACAGCCAACATTTGCTCGCAATATCTCCTGATTGGAAACTCCCATTCAGCTTTTGGTCTGCCACTGCACAGGACAAAACACCATTGTTCTCCCGCCTCTTAACCATATCCCCCAGGAAAAGACTTCAGTTTAAAGACACACATTCCCAGACATCTGAAATGCTAAAGTCACTTGTGTTATTTTCATTTGCTACACTTGAAGTTTTAGTACTTTCAAATTCTAGTCAAACACCATTTTTAAAACAGACTTTGCAGGAAACTGAAGAAACTAAACAAGAAGGCATCACTGCAGAACAAGGAAGTAGCTCTTGAGAAAACAGTGCAAGCAAATATCCCAGCAAAACCAAATCTGACTCATTCACAACAAGTGGAACATTATATGTTTCCACTGAAAGCTGAAAGTCTCCTCGTGCATGTGTTATAAAATATTTCCAAAAGATGTCTCAGATATGATTAGTGAAATGAACAGTTACATCTTCATAGTGACATGGTCTCAAATTCTTTGTTGTGAAAGAACACAACATTCACCAATCAAACTATTTTAAATGTTTACCACTTTTTTCTGAAAAAAACTGAATTTAGACTGGCTTCAAAATTTCAAGTCTTAAGGATTTTTACAAATAGCTTTCAAAGGCATTCTGTACTATTTTAACACTAACATTTAGTCTATGGCAATTAAACTATAAACTACTGAAGAGAGGGACTTATAATAGATTTCTAATTCAGCTGGTAAAATAAAAAATAAAGAAGGTTACACTGTTGTATTCAATTCCTCATTCTGATAACCAAGATTGGTTTTGATTTAAAATAAAACACTATAGTGGCACATCTGCAGCTGTGTCACTGTTATGCTTCACTATAGTTTTTTAATACATCAATGAAAGGCGTTCTTCCATCACTGTCATAAAGCTACCTCCTTCAGAGGAAGTAGATAGAAAGCTAATGGAAGAATTCAATCAACCTAACACTAGTCTACACCAGGTCTTAGGTTGGCTTACCTACATATCTCAAAGTTGCGAATTTTCCACATTCCAAGAGACATAATTGAATCAATCTAGCTTTCTAGTGCAGACTAGCCCTAACAATACTTTCATACTAGCACGAGAAAAGGGATGTGGCCATATCAGTTGCTCAAATTGGGATCCTAAAATAATTATTTTATTTTTTTGCAGATGGTAGTAAGTTGCATTTTAAATGTCACAACTCCAGTCTTGAAAAATTAAATTGCCATCTTGCTCTATGGTAAGAAGGAAGCTTTTCCAGGCAAGGCCCATCAATATCTGCCTTTTTTTGAAAAATAGTTTTTGATATAAAAGATATTCTTCCAATCAAAAAATGTAAACCAGTACAGTGCTGTGATCTGAAATTTGCACAGAGCTCCAGTGCCTCTGCTACTGCTCAAAGCAGACCCGAGTTGAAGTAATGTGAAAAGTGATAATTAAGAAAATTGTGAGCAACAATGAAAGTGAAAAAAATCGGATCAGTTTCATTCTACTTTTACTGCTTGAGAAATCATGGAGCCATTCACTGGAAAGAAGACTGAGGATTTGTCTTCATGCACAGAAGTGCAGGTGCTCTTTAACTGAAGACACTATTACACCAATGGGAGAGCACAGTAGCAGAGAAATACTCCATTACCATCCTCAAAGAAGACTAAAAGTGGAGGGAATGGGAAAGCAGTGGAGAGCCATGCACATCTTCATTAGCAGCCAAGTGTTTTTATATTAGTCAGGGATCATAAATCAAGTGTTCCTTTTCTTTTTCAGTAGCCAGAATGAAAACAGCACATCTTCAAATTTAGCCAGAGGTTTATAAGAAACGGAAGCCCTCAAACAGGGTAGGAATTCCAGCACCCTTCTATTTTTCATCAGTTTCAGGATGACATTGGCTTCCTTCCTGGTTATTACCTCACACAGTTCTATCAGCCTTTGACTAGTAACAAAAAACAGGACTGTGTAGCACTTTAAAGACTAACAAGATGGTTTAATAGGTGATGAGCTTTCGTGGGCCAGACCCACTTCCTCAGATCAAATAGTGGAAAAAAAATTGTCACAACCATATATACCAAAGGATACAATTAAAAAAATGAACACATATGAAAAGGACAAATCAAATTTCAGAACAGAAGGGGGATGGAGGAAGGGGAAGGGGGGGGGGAGGTAAATTAACATAGCTATTATTTAGGATCTGGCAAGATTTCCAAATAAATTAGAAGAGAAATGCACAATAGGAAAAAAAATTGGTGAGAGATGCGATGGAGACAGCAAATACAGAGAAAAAGGCAGAGAGAACAGTGTAGATAACGCATGATATGAAGGTAGTGAGAGAAAGGAAAAAAAGCAAACAGATTCTAGACAGCCCAGGAAAATAGACACAATAATCTATTATAAGAACATACATAAGAACATAAGAATGGCCGTAGTGGGTCAGACCAAAGGTCCATCTAGCCCAGTAGCCTGTCTGCCAACAGTGGCCAGAACCAAGTGTCCCAGAGAGGGTGGACTGAAGACAATGATCAAGCGATTTGTCTCCTGCC